GAGCCCTTTAGCCTGATGGGATTAGTGTAGTGTGAATGTAGTATGTAGAAAGTCTGATTAGGTTGCTAAGTAGTGAACTGTAATGTAATTGCACTACATTTAAATGTCTACTGCTCCTTCAGCAGTTTTTGTACTTTTTACAGTGGAGCACAGCCGGTTTTTATTACTTAACATAAAATGTTTTGTATGTGTTTGTTTTTTTTTTTTTTTGTTCATAATCAGTCAGCTCTCCTTGCAGCACTCATTCCACAGTCGTGCAAAGAACGCTTGATAAGATAAAGCATGTGTTGTATTGTATATCAGTAAAGTGCGTCATTTCATTTGGAGAAATTGTACTCATTGTCTGTAGCACTGTGATGGCAGAAGGGTGGAAAGGAGTCTTTTTACCTTTTTTTTAAATCCTGGATTTCAGAATCTTCTTTTACACATCTCATTTTACCCTCTTTTAACCCCTGTTTTGTTTTTATGGCAGTGTACTTTAGAGCACATTGAGTGATGTTGTAGTGTGTTGCACTGTATGTCTTCTTGTGTATGTCTAGTATACTGTAGCGTTCTCCTGGAGGGTGGTGGTTTGAATAATTTATGCAACAAATGAGTTTACCAGGAGATGCCCGTGTTCATCTGAGGACGTGCAGTGGCCGTTCCACTGCCTCAGGTTTCATCACAAACATCTTTTGGTTCCAAAGCCAGTAAGTACAGATGTAGGAATCATAGTATACATCGCGACACAAAGAGCAAATCATTCAACAAGTGAGTGACTCGTGGAATCAAAAGGCTTAACGTAATGGTGTTGCTGAAAGGACAGACGGATGAATTAAATGTCTTGTTTTCCGATCAGGTCTTTTCTGGGATCTCGGTAAAGACAGCAGAGATGGAGAAGAACACAGAGAATGAAGGTAGAGGGAGCAAAACTCTGAAATGAAACAGACAAAGAGAAAAGAGTTGAGCGGGCATAAAGAGAGAGGTCAGAGGATTTGGAGGGGATTGGATGGGATTCATTACTCTCAATGGTGTATTTTATTAGATGTAATACAGTACAACAACAACTTTGTTTACCAGTTGAGAAATGATGAATAATTTGTGAGATAATCTGGTTCTTACAATTTGTTCTCAACTCCATCGGGTCAAGCACAATGCATATTAGCTGAACTCAACCAGTAATGTGCCAAGTCTCACTACACAAGTCATTGTTGACAGTTTCATTCACACCATGCATGACGTGCAGTACACTATGATACAATGTGCTAATGTGTAAAGCCAGTAGCTCAGTATCTCGTTGTTCCTCTCCCCCCGCCTTGTCAGAAAAGTGTAAACACTGGTCTGTGAGAAGTGTAAATGATAGACTCATTAACAGTGTGTAACACTGTGTGCTGTTCATGTTTACAAAGGTTAAGTGCTGGAATATGTTGAGCTTGGCTGTGAATCAGTATTTAAACAGAACTGGCTAACAGGAATTTACAGAGTCAAATTCAGAGTACATTAACTTCCTGGTCACTACACTGTTGTGGCTAATATGAGCTAATTGCACCACATTGATGCAGTTACATTGCATCAGGTGAAGCTCTGCAATCTCACTGTTAACACAATTATCAGCAACCAGGATTGACTGCGTAGTTGCTGAATGGGGATGGTACAGTAAAGGAATGAGTACATCAGCATGTTTAGTTTAACTGTTATCAACAGTCCGAGTAAGTCGTTACCAATGGAATAAACATAAAATGTTGTTCAAGTCATTCTCTATAACCATCCACAAGCCAGCTGATAAAGGTAATTAGTGTAACTGGGAGAGTCGTGAGTATTTTCTTGAATACTGAATTAACAGTCTGTAGAGATACCATGTCTTATGAGTATAAAAATCTTTAAGTCTTATCGACTGTTTGCCCCTACCACTGTGGATGACCGCTCATATTGCTATCATTCCCATTAGTCCAATTGGTCTGACTATAGAGTCTTTTCTTTGTTCTTGAGTATAACACAGCTTTCAGGCCATGTGTGTTAATGTGTAGCTCAGCTGGAACAGTAATCTTTATTCTATTACAACATATATTCCTGTTTTAAGGCGATACCAATATTCTATTTTAGAGGTACAGAAATCAAATAATGAAATGTTCTACATAAGCATATAACATGGACAAAAAAGATTCAGAATCCCAGAAATTAGTTTTTTAAATAAATGTGACATTGATGTGTGTGACCCCAGACTTTCACAGTCTGGCTACTTTGAGTGGCCGTGGAGCAAAAGAAGAAGTTAAACAACGTAGTTTATAGGGAAATCTGTGTTTCGAGAACGTTGAGGTGGATGGATGGGTCGTTGGACTTTAAAATGGAAGATCACTCTACATTTCTTGTGTGAACCAACAGCCAGCATTGTTTCTGTTATCCATGACTGTGCGTTTATTATGATCATCAAGTCAACAAGGGTGCAGTACCCTTGCCAATGGTATGGTAATGAATAATCGGTCTAGGTGAAATATTTTAGAACCACTGCATTGGCTGGATGAATGTTTGCACTTTTACGGTAGCCTTGCAACATTGTCAGACACACTTTGTGTTGTTTAAATCTTTATTCCATTTCTTCTTTTTTCTTTTTTTTTCCTTTTTTTTTGCAGAGACAACGCCTGTTGCTAATTGAAAAAAAAATACTAAATGGACCAGAGTTAATCAAGAATTTTTCAAGATATTAGTATTACATTAGTACTGTAGTTACTTGAAACCGTGCAAACTTAAAAGAATAATTTGACATTCTGGGAATTGAATAATTTTATTTATATAGCTCAGGTTCACAACTCACAAAGTTTCCTCAAGGGACTTTACAATCTGTACAGAATACAACAACCTCTTTGACCCTTAAGATGAGGAAACCCTTTAATGGGATAAAAAAAGGAAGAAACCTCAGGAACAGGAACACAGGAGGGATCCTTCTTCCAGGGTGGACAGACATGCAATTGATGTTGTTCAACAACATGTAAATGAATGTACTTTACAGCTGCTGATAGGTGGAATTGGTTGTAGCTGTTTCCCCGTTTCAGGTCTATGTACGAAATTAAGGAAAACAGCTGAAAATGATGAATCAGATCTCAGAATAGTACTATAGAAATTTTACATAAGCATCATTATGCAAACCATGTGACTCCTCCAACTTAGAGGTGTCTTGAGAACAAACTGGACTTTTCTAATGCCATTTGAAACAATCTGATTTGTCATAATCAAGAGAAGCTGCCAGTACCAGAGGAGTTAGTGTTGTTGCCAGTGTTGTTTTTGTTTTCTGTATATGGAGCGTGTTGCTGGTTTTGGGGCAGGGAGATACCCTGGCGTGTTATGTTTATTTATTTTTTATTTTTTTCTTGTTGCTGTATTTGGAAAATGCTGCTTTGTCAGCAGGTCAGGTAGATTTTTTTTCCCTCCCCCAGTTCTCCTTTTCCCACACAAACAAACATTTAGAGCACTCACACACTCACTCCCACATGCACACACACACACACACACACACACACACACACACACACACATACATACATATATATACATGCACACTCATAATCTCTGCTTTGTCCTCTTTTCTCTTCTTGCCCTCCCTCTCTCTCTCTCTCTCTCTCTCTCTCTCTCTCTCTCTCTCTCTCTCTCTCTGTGCATGAAGGCAAACTCAGCAGACCTCCAGGCTGCCAGGGAGTAAAGGCATTCTGGGTAATCCAGGGTGTGAGAAGGAAAAGGGAAAGAAAGGGAGAAAACTCTCACAAAATCTTACACGGACGCACACATACACACACACACACACACACACACACACACAAACACAACCAAATCCAGTCTCTCATCACTGAACCATGGAGATACAATATCCATCTGTGTCCATCTGTACATTCATCTGCTGAGACAAATACAGACTGTGTTTGCAGCAGAATATGGAGTCAAAAAGCTGCACAGCATTCTGTTCCCTGTTGCTGAAGATTTGCAATTGGGAGATATGAAGGAGTAAGGGTGGAGGGGGGGTTGAGGGAATAGCGAGGGTGGTGGGGTGGAGCAGAGGAGGATACAGGAGTGTCGTCAGTCCGCTTTTATCTCAGCTCTGATTAAACCTTGTTCCTGTCTGACCTAAAAAGTCAGCTGGCGGAAACTTCAGAGACTGTGGGTGAATTTCACTGGAGCTCTTTACACCCAGCCCGATGCCTTCAGAGAGGAAGAGAAAGCGAGACGAGAGATCAGAGAAACAGAACAGAGAGTGGGCAGATTCTGAAAAAATAAAAATAAAAAATACACACACAGACACAGGCAAGCTGGCTTTACATGCTCACTGTTCACACATTATCATATATATGGATATACGCTCTCCCACACTGCATGTTGTCTGCTCTTTATTCCTAATGAGGATGAGGAAGAGGCCGGTGCTGGGTGGTAACTCCGGGTTAGTCCGGAGTACAATGCCACAGGAAGCAGACAGAGGCAGTGCTGAAATGTGTCAGCGCCGCCTGTCTGGGACAAGCACAACAAAAAACACAAGGTATAAAAATAAACCTGTGCCAGCATGGCAAGGCATCTGCTGAAACAGGAAATATCCCACTGAGGTAGAGACAGTAAGAGAGAGATGGGGAAAGACCCTTGGATTGGATTTTTTTGGTTTTGTTTTAATGACTCTTGTATTGTTTCACTGGTGGCAAGTTCAATAGAGATTTTGTATTGTTGGTGTCAACAAAGCTACAGTGATGGGGGAAGTATTCATCTTTCAGTTAAGTAAAAAGTATCCATACCGCAGTATAGTAATATTTAATTACAATTAAAAGTGTCTTTTATTTTTGGATCATTATTACTTATGCATTAACATCCAAGTATTATTGTACTGTTGGCTGATGTGCTTAACTTTTGTAATATGTTGGGTAGGTTCATCTGTAACAGTGTGTCAAATTTAATGTGCCTTTTGTACTTTTAAAGTAAGTTTTGTAGACTAGATTGAGTTGTGAGTGTAAATCTCTTTTTGTATGTGTATGTGCGTTTGTTTCTCTCAGAGTGCTGCAGCAGCCCCCAGTCCAGTCCTTGGAAACCTTCCCCCAGGAGAGGGCATGCCAGTGGGACCAGTCCCTCCAGGATTCTTTCAGGTATACAGTCCAAACACACACACACACACACACACACACACACACACACACACACACACACACACACGAACACACACACAGACAGAAAGTGTGAGAGCGAATTATTTGGGTCTTTAGACTTAGATTTAAGGGACACTGAGTAAATTACGGCCCATTGTTAATCCCAGGGAACCTGTTTTACGTTGAGCTGTGGTATATTACTCCTTTTTTCAAATGTGAGTATTTAACTTGTGAAACTTCATCAAAACACTCTCTCACTCAAACTTACCAGTATACATGAGTGTAGAGTACCTTTACATATGTGTACAATCTGTGTGTATTAGTGTGTAGGTGCACCATTGTGTGTTTCCCAAAACAGAGAGAGAGAGGTGTGACAAGAGAAAGAAATCTCTCGCAGACAAAAACACAGACATGCACCTTCGTCCCTGATCATCTCTGTTCTCCATCAGAAGGACTCTGCCGGTTGTACATTGATTATTAGTCAAACTCAGACGCTCACATCTGACATACAGATCAATAGCTTTCATAGGCATTTCTCAGCTCTTTCAAAAAACTCAAAACCGGGTCTGAACAGCCTTTTCCATCTCTGTCTGAAGATCAAGTGTTCTTTGAAGACAAGGTCTTGTCAAGACCAATTGGTTAAACAAATGCCACTTCTTCATTCAGGTTTCAGAAAATGAATTGCATATGGACCAGATGAGAGAAGGTTATAGCTGAATTTTGGAGAGATTGATAATGCATCCTGTGCTGGTAAATGTATATATATGCACAGGTTTTTACACAGCTAGCTTTAAACATGTTTCATTTATTGATTCATTGAGTCAATTTATGAATTTATTCACTGACTCACTCACTAATTTCTAAACTTTCTATGTTCAGTTGTTGCATGTATTTATTCACGTAAAAGCAAGGTTTTCAGTTATCATTATTATTAATTTCATAATTATTATTATAGCAATCAAATAGACCTAAAATAGTGTATCAGTTTTCCTTTAATGGATCTTCAGCACAGCTGGGAGATGGGACAGGAGGTGGGGGGTGGCTAAAGCGAAGACCCTGATCAAAACAAGTGGACCATTGCTCTCTAGTGGCTTGTTGAAGTATTGCCTCTCCAACACTGCAGACTGACTGTTCTCACCACAGAACATTAGTTCAGCAGACATAGCGACAGTATTGCTACTGTCTGTGGCAAGGACAAGTGAAAACCCACTCACAGCTGCAAAAGAGCTTCTCGCACATGCTGCCAAATTCCACAAAGTTAACACATACACTGGCATCATTATTAAAAAACCTCATCCTTTATTCCCTCATTCTTTTTCCATAAATGCAATCCAATGAAAATGCGGTCGACTTCCCCTCTCTGCTGTCATGGAATTGTTGTTAAAGGAAAATGAGCCCAAAACTCACCAGCAGACATACGCAGTAGTTCTGGTTGGTTTCCTGTTTTGGAGAGTGAAAAAAAAAACTTCCCATAGTGCTTCATGGTGCAGTTTGTACACTACTTTTGTTTCTGGGAAAGAGTTTATGAAAGAAGGACTGGCATGGTGACCCATGACATTATATTTTTTTCAGGATTTTTGGTTGATTTTTCTTTCAGTTTAATTAAATTTTGATGAAAATACACAAGTACTAGGTTTTAATATGTGCACGTGATAGATTGTGTGTGTAGTATGTATAACCCTGAGCGATTCAACATACATTTATGGTGTTTGTTTTTTTTAGCCATTTATGTCACCTCGATACCCCGGAGGACCCAGACCACCCCTCAGATTACCCAACCAGGTAAGAGCCATGCTGACTCCTGCAGGCAGCAAACAGAACTGTCGACAGTAAAAATGGACAGTATATGTGTGACAGTGATGACAATGTTGGTGATGGATCCTCTTTCCTCTGTAGGGACTTGGAGGAGTCCCAGGTAGCCAGCCTATGTTACCAAGTGGAATGGACCCCACAAGACAGCAAGGTAGACATAGACATACTGGTATACACAAACACAAACACACTGCACCTAGTTTATTAAAGACTAACTAGCATTTCCAAATACATCTTTTAAACCAAAAGGTATTTTCTCTGGAGCCACAGCCTGATAGAGCTTTTACCAAAGAACTGACATCTCAAAACTATTAACTAGCTAGCAATAAAGGCTGTAAAGCTGCTCTTAGGCATAGCAGTGCTTTGACCTAAATGCTAATGTCAGAATGTTAATATGCTAACATGCGCACAGTGATGATGCTGATCTTTAACATCTTTTTATTTTTCACCACCTTATTTTGATGTCATAGCATGCAAACTTTTGCTAATTAGCACTGAACTCAAAGTACAGCTAATACCAGGAATGTCTTTAGTTTTGCAGGTATTTGGTCATAATTAAAATTTTGACCTGATGATGACGCTATACGAAAGGTTGTGGAATCACCAAACTTATTACATGTCATCCTGTGTAAACATGTCTTCCATGTCTGTACCAAAATTTGTGTCCATTGTTCTTGTAGATGTTGAAATATTTCACTCAAAATCACCACAAATGTCACTATCATGGGTGCACTAGAGGAAAAGTTGTGGGTCACAAAGTCATGAGGATTCATCCTCTGGGGACCATAATATCTACCAAATTTCATTGCAGGCAATCCAACTCACTAGTCACTAGCATGGTAAAAAACAGTAAAGAGCCACAGTGATGCACTGGCTGATATTTTTCTTCATTAAAATGAGCATGGTTGCCGTCATTTATTATAAAACAACTGCAATTCATGCAGATCACGGAGCATGCTCTGGGAAAAGGTTTCATACACTTTTGCTATTTTTGATGAGATCGGATGAATGAAATAGACCTGCCCATTCGTTGTAATGAAGGTACAACAGTATGTCATCTTTATGTGTTTTCAATAGTTAGTTTTGTGTGGTAATCTAGCAGGATGACTTCATTGACTTCACATAAAAATATCTCTTCATATCCTTTAACTAAATCCCAATTTACACAAACTGCTCATTCCTCTAGACAACACATAAATTATGCATATGTTATAGACTCTGGCTGTTCAGTTACTGTTTGGCTCAAAACTAGAATGAGAAAATTGTGTAATTATAGCAGCTGTAAATGTTAGTGGTTTGTGCCAGACGCACAGGTCTCATCATCTCAAAAATACATGTCATTCTGGGGATTTGAAATACTACAGTGTCCAGATAAAAACGTGTCAAAAGGAACATGTAATCAAATAATGGATCCACTTCATCTAGCTTAAAGTACGATAATAAGGGTATGCATCACCTAAAATGGCCATGAAACGTCCCAGAGTCTGACAAGTCCTGAATCCTGAATACACTGTTCGGAAAAATAATATTGGTTATAGTTTGACTGTTTTTCTGTTTTTCAGGACATCCAAATATGGGAGGACCGATGCAGCGGATGACTCCACCCAGAGGCATGGTACCGCTGGGGCCCCAGGTATGGAACCAGATGATTTGCAGGGATATTTACAAAAATTGGTTCCAATCATTACTCTCTTATAAACACAACTAAAGGCACGTTTGTGTTTTTTTAAGAACTACGGAGGTGGAATGAGACCACCACTGAATGCCCTGGTTGGTCCTGGGATGCCTGGCATGAACATGTAAGTGGTATCTACACTAACCTTTGTCACTTTTGGGGAAATTACACAGATTTACCCTAACCATTGACCCAAAAATCAGGCTTTTCTCCAATAGGGACACAGCTTTTGTCCCCAGTCGGACAAGCTGTCCCCATTTAACAGGTCTTTCATCTGAAATTTGTCCTCAAAAGTTACCTAAGTCTGAGCCACACACACACACACACACAGAGAAAGAGAGAGAGAGAGAGAGAGAGAGAGAGAGAGAGAGAGAGAGAGAGAGAGAGGGGCATACAAAGTGGTTACTTGTGTACATAAGTTAAAAAGAAAAGAAATTCACTTTCTCACCTCTCTCACATTTCTGTCACTCAGAAAGACAACTTAAACCCCAAACATCCTTAATCTGTCAGCTCAGTAGATACAGTTAGCCATTTCCTTTATGTAGCTTTTAATTACAACTTTACAATATGTTTTTAGTACTTAGAGGTTCGGAAGTGGAGCTTAAGCTGTCCTATATTTTGTCTTATATTGTATGTTTTTTTTTGTTCCCATCACCTCTCTCTGGCAAAGGGAGACTTTGTTGTTGCCAACACTGCCCAAATGAATTGGAAACAAAGAAGCTAGCCAAAAGAAGAAAACTAAAGTGTGTGTGTGTGTGTGTGTGTGTGTGTGTGTGTGTGTGTGTGTGTGTGTGTGTGTGTGTGTGTGTGTGTGTGTGTTCCAGGGGACCTGGTGGGGGTAGACCCTGGCCAAATCCTCCAAACTCCAATTCGGTAAGTGCTCTAACAACGAAACCCAACAGACAGTTTAACAGTTATTTCATTTCTTTCATAATTTCCTTCTGTATTTTTGTAGACCCCTTACTCTTCTGCATCTCCAGGAAGTTATGTGGTATGTACTGTATGTTTGAGTTTAAACTGTTGCTCTACAGGCTGTTTTTCATTAGTTCATGAATGAATCTTATGGAAACTGAAACATTTCAGGGACCTCCAGGAGGTGGAGGGCCACCTGGGACCCCAATAATGCCAAGTCCAGCAGGTAAGCTCTGTGTATGCATCTGTATGTAAGTATATACATTTGTTTTGCTCTTTATCCTCTTATTGTTTCTCCATTTGTTATGTCAGATTCAACCAACTCCGGCGACAACATGTACACGATGATAAACACAGTCCCTCCAGGTGGAAGCCGACCAAATGTGAGACTTTTTCCCTCCATTTAATGTCAAATATGAGTGCTGTTTTTATTTATTTGTTATTTTGTTGATAGTAAATTTTGTATATCACTGTCACTTCTGTATGTTCTCCTCAGTTCCCTATGGGTGCGGGCGGCGATGGTCCATTAGGGGGAATGGCTGGAATGGAGCCCCATCACATGAATGGATCATTAGGTACAGGAACATGTTGCTTGTAGGTGCTGCGTTGACAAAAATCTCTGGTTATGTTTTTTCCCTAATTGATGCAAAACAAACAATCATATGATGATGGTGATTTGCGTGTTTTTCACGTTTGGGTTCCCTCTCTCAGGATCAGGTGATATGGACAGTCTCCCTAAGGTAAGACAAGCCATTTATTTACTTTGAACCTGCAGTTTGTGCCTGATGTTTTGCGGCTTACCATTAAGCTGTGTTTTATTTACCTTTGTGTAGAACTCTCCTGGTAACCTCAGTATGAGTAACCAGCCGGGAACCCCCAGGGAGGATGGAGAGATGGGAGGAAACTTCCTTAACCCTTTTCAGAATGAAAGTGTAAGTTGGTTGACAGCTACTGTATGGGCTGATTTGAAGGAGTGGTTTGACATTCTGGGAAATGCACAATGAGAAGATACCACTCATAAATCTATATGCTAAATATGAAGCTACAGCCAGCAGCCAATTAGCTTAGCTTAGCATAAACACTGGAAACCAAAGAAAACCGTTCCATCCAACAATTTAAAAGACACTTATTAGCACATCTTCATTTGACTAAACATTATATCATTTGTTTAATGATAATTAAACATAAGTTTAAACAACAAGCCATGGTTTCACAGGCATTTTGTCCAAATCTCTTGGATGAGAGCAGTGACTTTCAAGTGTTTGCTTGGCAACCACACTATGCTAACAACACTTTTAGGTTTACTATACTTAACTATACTTTAGACCTTTACAGGTGCTGCTAGTGGATTTTGTTTCTGTTTCCAGTCTTGATACTAAGCTAAACTAAGCAGCTGTTAGCTGTACCTTCATATTTAATGTACAGACATGTGAGTTGTATCTTCTCGTCTTATTCTTGACAAGAAATAAATAAAAAAGGTTCCCGAAAATGTTGAATTATACCTTCAACATATAAGAGAGTTTCAAGTGCCCACTTTGATGGAAATTATTTGACTTAATCCATTGCAATTTGAAGGGATTTCTAATTCAGGATGTTAGTGTACAATCAGTGTTAACTAGAAAACTGGTTTTGTCTCTCTCTCTCATATATTCATGGTGACAATTTATTTCTCCCCAATCAATCTCTGCAGTATTCTCCAAACATGACGATGAGCGTGTGAAGGCTTGGGAAGCGGGTTGGTCAGTCGCTCAGTAAACTGGTGTGGATTGGTGAAAAAGCAGAGAGACTGGGTGTGATGTCATCTAGGCCAGTGACTTCCTCCACCACCACCTACCTAGTCAGGACAGTTGCCCCAGGGTCTGTCCTTCTACTACCCCCCCTCCAGCCCCACCTCCCCTCTCCCACCCCTCCATGGTTTCTGTCCACGTCTCTTCTCTCCTGTTTCTTCTCCCGTTCTAAGTGGTGACTCTGCTACATTCATCAGTTCTTCCTCTGCAACTATGAGACTGTACAAAGGAACCAAATTGAAAAAACCTGGAGGAGAACTCTTTGTATATTTGCATACGGTGTGTATGAGACTGTGCACACACTGCAGTCACAGACAGATGTTTCTGCCTTTTGCATCATGTCACGGAGTTCTTGCCCAAATACAAAAGGCCAGTATCCTATTTATCCTAAAGTTTAAATTTCCAAGAATTTAAAGAGATATAGACACTTTTTGATTGATGGTAAAAAAATTTTATCCAGCTGATTGTCACATGGAACATCTTTTGTCTTTACCTGACAAATTACTTTGTCCATTAGTGGAAGAGAATTTGAGAGACATCATAATCATATTACCATGAGGTTTTAATTGAAGCTTCTGCAAATATTTGTAAAGTCTTTTCAACTCTTGTTGTTGTCTAAATCTTTATGACCACTTACATTGTGTTTTATGTTTTATACTATGGGTCTAAGAAGTTTTTTTTTAAATTTCCATCACAAACTCAGTCAGAAATGTGGAAAATGTAAAATCTCTCACTCTGCCTCACCTCTATTACATTTGCAAGGCCTGAAGAGGCGTATGAAGTGCAGATCAAAATCAGTTCTTTGTTCAGACTTTAATAATAATTTAAAGAAAGGCTTCAGCACGTTGAATGGTTATTAGGAAAAAAGAGCTTTGTTAAAGGCTTAAAGTGACACTATGTAACTTTTGAACAGTAGCCACTATTGCCACAAGTGACAATTACAGGATAATGATAAATGATAATGATAATGCTTAAGCATAGTGAAACCAGAAAAGGAAGTCTGTGAAGTGGCTTGGTAATGTCCATTATAGAGCAGATAAAGTTTGTTACACTAGCTAACATTTAGCAACCAAAAGTTACTGGTCATACCAGACCAAGTTAGGCTGTAGACACAAAAACCCTGAGTGTATTGAATTGAGCAATGGTGTATTTTATTATTTATGAATTCAACTTTCCATTTGTAAGCCAAAGAATTTGTTGTTTCTTCTTTCAAAAGTTACATAGTCTCCCTTTAAGTCAAATGAGATCAGTCCTTAACTGTAATTTAATTGGGGATAGCAGTGAGGATAACACTGGGGAAGATTGTTTGCACAAAGGTTAATACCTAATAGCACTGGACAGACTGAAAGTCTCCCATTTTTTTTTTTTTTTTACGAGTAAGTGATTCCTCTGCATTCAGCAGGCCTTTGTTGCAATTCAGACTGTAGTGGTAAACCAAGAGTCCATTGAAAGATTTTACATTCTGTTGACTGCCCAACCACAGGACAAAGTTTAAGTCGGGGACAGCAAAACGTAATTGATTTTTCTTATGTAAAGATTTTTTCTAACAAGGGGGGAAACCTGTGGTCATATCGTGTGGTCATATCGTTTGTTGTTTTTGTTTGCTGAGGCTTCTCTCAACTCTAGTTCTTTAAACCTTGATGCAAATGATTTATCAGGTTACGTCAGTGTGATATGAAAGGTTGGTTGGTACAGAAAGCTAAGATAAGCTTGTTTTTAATCAATGTTTTCAACTTTTTTCACTGCCCAAGATGTATTATCATCATGTATAAAAGATCAACATGCCTGTGAACATTCTCCTTTCCCCTCCCTTACTGCAAAGTGTACAGCTCACAAATGTAGCTCCTCTGTCTTGTATGTGTATTTGATATTATTGTTATTATTTAAAGAAAAATCTGGAATTATCGCAAAAGGGAGCGATGGACTGATGACGCACCATCACAACTGAACAGAGATTTTTATTTTGTGTTTTTTTTGTTAGATTGAAGCCATGAGTGGGAGTACAAGAAGATGCATTTGTACATCGGATCATGTTTTCTGTTTTGTGGCAGTATGTGGGACTCCATTTGTGATGTGTTAATTTTCTCTTTTTTATTCTTGTATTATGTTTTTGTAAATACAGAGAAGTATTTCATGAGTTTTGAATATGCTGGTATAAAGCTTCTCTTCCCTTAGTCAAAGTGTCAACTCTTTTCATTTGCGAGTATATGGACATGAACACAGTCACTTGAAGGTGTATTTCAGTGTGTTTGTAGACAAAGTTATGTTACCATGAAGCATTGCTCTAGGGAAGCTAGATAACTTCCAGGTATGAGCGTTGTTCCTGCCTGTATTAATAAAGTTGTTCTGAAAGAGGAGGAGGGACATAGTGAACAAGCATTAAAGGAATAGTTTATGAAGATTGATACCACTTTCTCATCTGTACATTAAACATTACAGATTTTGCAGTTGCATTTTTAGCTATAGCTTCATATTTAGTGTACAGACATGGAAGTGCAAGGTTTTAATCCGAGAGCCAACCACTGTACCGTAGTGGCCACATTTTTATACCCAGCAGCAGACACCTTCTTATCATATGAGTCGGAGAATTCAAAAGAAAAGACTTTAGTAAACAGCATAGTCACTGCAGTTCTATTTACATATTTACTCACTTTCTCTAAACTGCATTCATGTCAATGCTGCATGTAGGTTATATAACATATGTACACTTCAGATTATGATCTTTGCATATTGCATGAGTGTATATCTCTCTCCCTCTCTACCCTCAAACACACAGCACAAACACAGAGAGAGTGAGACCACAAATACCCACAGAAAGAATAATTCATCTTGCGTAACAGAACAGGACAGCGGGGAGGGAATGTGAGTGAGCCTCTGGCAGAACCACAAAGACCACAGCATTTCTCTTGTATAACACTATGATATAGCATCAAAAAAGTCTCTTTCTTACACACAAACACATGCAATAAACATTTAGCACATTTGAAATATTCATCCCTATATTCTGCACAAGAAATGCAAATAGAGGAGGAACTTGGAAATATAGTCTTTCTCTCACCCCCCCCCCCATGCCCAACCCCCCCCAATGCCCATACCCCCCATGCCCCCTTCCACCACCCCTAACTCCTCTCCCTTTATATTAGTGTAACATCACCTCTGCTCGTCTGCTAGCCAGCATTCCTGCAGGAGTACACTTGTTCTGTTTTTGCTGTGGTATTCAACTGGCTATCATTTGACCTTTAATCATGTCTGTTCGCTTTTGTCTAGCTTTGCTGGCTCTCTCTTCTCTGACTGCTGCGTCTGATCCAGGCTGTGAAGAGCTGATTAAACCTCTGGATGATGGAAACCAGGTACGTTGTCCTCAGGATTTACATTGACTGTTAAGTAGAATCCAGTTTTCTTTGTTCTACATGATTTAACCTTACATAACTACAACCTCTATTTTTACTGAGGTGTATTCATGTTGTGGAGTGTTCTCAAATTCCACCATCTGGGGTTTGAGAGCCACAAGTATCTGCCATATAGAAGAATAAAAATAAGTAAACATGAGGGCAATGAAGAGGATATTGTGAAATATGGAGTATAGGTGCACTGAAGAGGTCACTGTTCACCAGCCAACTCCGATGTCTCACATGTTGGACTGTTTGAACACAAGACAAGTTCAAATTCAGCAGTCTAAATGTTCACTGTGATAGATTTCCTATCAGGTCAATTTGTCATACTTGAATAAATGGTCATCGATAATGTGACAATAATGTTCAATAATGTTTGAAGGTTGGAATTTTTTTTTTTAGTATTTTACATCTCTCAAAGTTGCATCTCAAAGGAACGCTGTAAAAGTATGGGAGTTAAAACTATGCTACAAAAATCTGTTTACCAAGAGCTTTTATTTGAGTACAAATTTGTTAGAAATACGGGTTTCAATTTTGCACATCTATTTCTAGCTCTTTGGAAAATGGATATTCCATTCTGGAACATCAGACAATGCAAACTCTCTGAGAGACCTTAAAACTGTCAACAGCTCCTGGATTAAACTCTCACCCACACCTGACAATGATGTTATGACCCTGAGCTGGGGAGACAAAGTGTAAGCATTAATCTTCTGAAAATGAATTTTTTTGATACATTTAAGGTCCAGTGCATTAGGTAAGAGGTGAGATTTAATACAGTTCTCATGCGTTTGTTTTGTTTACTTCTCTTTTCAAGTGATGGGAAATGTCATTATGGAAGTGTTAATTTCACCTTCTCAGTAAACTCGACCAAAGTGACATGTAAGTACATTATGGTACATATCATTATCTGTGCTTTTCACAGTTACTAAACTTCTGTTTGTATCCAATAGTTAGCTTTAACTCCTCTTCTCATGATCATGTTGGGAATTACCTGGTGACCTGCCCTGAGTGCATCCTCTGGACAGACACCTCAGTGACAGTGGGGAATGGGGAAACCAGAAAAGGGAGAAACCTTTACCTCTTCAGTGAGTTCACAGTTGTCTCTACACTCGTTAAAAAATCCCAAAATTCAGAGCTTTAGCACTCAATTATGTTTTGACTAGTTCCTTGAGATAATTTATTAACTTCTCCCTGCCCTGCAGCAAAGTCTAGGAAACTGGATGTCTCTTATCTGGATGTTTTCAAGAAACAGGCTGCATGCCTCAACTTCCAACCAGACATCTTCTCTTTGGACAACACAGGTGAGATGCTGCGATCTCTCTGTCTATCTTAACCACTACACACTCAGCAGTAATCAGTATGGGTAACTTATTGAGGCACTTATCAACTTCATTTCCCACCTCTATTTCAGACCTGTGCCCTGATGAGAAGGAACCTGCCACAGATGTAAAGGAAGACGAATAATAGAGAAAACATATTGTCACCCATCGTAAACCTCAACTCTACCCTGAGACTGCATGAGTTAAATTTGTATTCAAGTACATTCTCTTAGATGTGCCCAAACTCCCAGTACCACTTGTATGTATCACCGATGTCTTAATAAAATTGAACAAATACAAATTTTCCATCCTGCAGGGGTTTTACAGTAGTGTACCTTTTGTTGTATTAAAGGGACTGATTCCGCATGTCACTGTTCATAAATTATGATGGAAAAAGTTTGTTTTTTCAACAAAAGGAGGGACTGTGTTATTGCATGCTTTTGTTTTGTATTAAAGACAATCTATATGTTCTTTCTGGCTCTGACTATGATGCACTGCAACTTAAAAAAACACATGCAAGCACAGAAACGTGCTGCAAATTCAGTCCTACAACACAACAGATGTGTTTCCAGTGGACACAAGCGTGGGAGCAGGGGTAATGCTAACCGCAGTAGTCCGGGTTCAAGTCCAACCCATGGCCCTTTGTGCCATATCATCCTCTCCCTCTCTCTCTCTCTCTCTCTCTCTCTCTCTCTCTTAAAAAGAAAGAAGTGGTGAACCTGGCTGGGACAAACTTGTTATTCAATGCTTTCACCTTCAAAAGGGTTAGCCAGGTTCATCACTTTTTAGTGTCCCCTGAAAACACTTCTGTTGTGTTCTATGAATTTTTCGCACGTGTTATCAAATTGATGAAGATGTATGGAGGTAGATTTCTTTCAATATTATTTATGTGAACAGATCAACAATCTGTGCATAAATGTGTAATGTGGAAATATAGAACACCTTCCACAAATACTGAAAATAAATTTGCAAATTCACATAAATATCGTGCAAATATAAAATGGATTTGCAAATATACAAATTCCACAAATAAAAAAAATATCTGTGAATACATTTGATAAAATTACAAATAAATTAATTGCATTTGTGAATATCTTCCTAATATTTACAGCTTTCAAACAGAAACTCCTAATACCATACTTATGAATTCAACTTTCCATTTGTAAGCCAAAGAATTTGTTGTTTCTTCTTTCAAAAGTTACATAGTCTCCCTTTAAGTCAAATGAGATCAGTCTTTAACTTTAATCTAATTGGAGATAGCAGTGAGGATAATACTGGGGAAGATTGTTTGCACAAAGGTTAATACCTAAAAGGACTGCACAGACTGAAAGTCTGCCCCTTTTTCATGAGTAAGTGATCCTTCTGCATTCAGCAGGCCTTTCTTGCAATTCAGACTGTAGTGGTAAACCAAGAGTCCATTTGAAAGATTTTACATTCTCCTGACTGCACAACAACTGTGAATACATTCAATACATTTGCAAATAAATGAAATGCATATCTTCCTAACTTATATAGCTTTCAAACAGAAACTCTAATACCTTACTATACTATGACATGTTATGCCTTACTATACTATGATGTTTTTATGGGGTAGCACGGTAGTAGAGTGATTAGAACTGTTCCCTCACAGTGAGAAGGTTCTGGGTTTGAACCCTAAGCCATTCTGTGTGGAGTTTGCATGTTCTTTTTATGCCTTGCTATACTGTGACTTTTTATGCCTTTTTATACTATGACTTTATGCCATTTTTCTTTTTGAAGATTTTTGACAGTTTCGAGTCATCTGGTCATCGCTAGCCTCCTCTAAAGTTAAGCGCATTAGAGTTTTACTTCGCATTAACCCTAACCCTAACCCGACCTGCCCACAACCACCTACAGAGAAGCCTACAACAAATCAAGAGTGCCCAAGACAGACAGTCTACTGGCAGTCTCCACCAAGGCTGAACCGCTGAGACACCAGCAGAATCTTTCCCCATGATAATGGGACACGGCCTCCAGGAAAATCCACCTAGATCCCGTGTCTCCAGGGTTACCACAGCAACCTCAGCCACCTGGGTTCCAGACAAGGGTCTCCAGCAACAGCGCAGCTCACAGTCGGCCGGTCTTAGCATTATGCTTGTGATGGGGTTGATGTCGTAATATGACAATATTTAATCATCAAATATCATTTACAGATGTAGTGATCATTAGTTGTATAGCCATAGTGTATAGCCATAACATATTCTCTCCCACCATTGCCAGTTCATCACAACATTCATTTCATTATTAATTCCATCTTGATAATCATTATATTTTGCATTTACTCTGTAGATAGTAGTTTAGTTAATAAACTTCTTTATTTACACTCAGTCGTTGTCCTGTTGTGTTCTTCTGAAGTAGAGACTGGAAATCCATTGAATTGAGGCTTCTGATGTGAGATTGATCAGATTAATTAATAAAATAATTAAATGTTGTCC